CTAATAATATTATATCTAATAAAGGTTTACAATTTGTTTCGAAATTCTGAAAATATTTATTTGAATATTTATTGATTACCCTAAAACAATCCTTCTTATTTTATCCTAAATCTGATAGTTAAACAAAAAGAATTAATATTATAATAAAATAATATTTTAAAGCTTTTATAAATTTTTATTAGAATAATTAGTATAATTGATTTTTATTTACAAAGTTTATATTCAACAATACTATCTCCAAAACTATTAGTATATCCCTATTCTTTACTAATTACAGTTTTCATCTATACTTCAATATCAAGCTCTCTTTATTTATACCTTTTAATTTGTTATATTAAAGAAAACGGGAGTTTCTAAAAGCCAACAAAATCACAGATCGATTCAATTTTATTTTAACAAAATTGAAGGTTTTTATTACTTAGTTTATTTAAAAATATAAGGATTATACTAATTGAATTTGTATTGATATTCTCTTATATAAAGAAGGTGATAAGGTATGAGTTAATACTAAAAATATAAAGATTAATTGTTTAATGAAAAAGAATAATAACAAATGGGATAGCTTTTATAAGATTCTAAAAGTTTATAAACGAGTTTGCTTATTTCAACTCTCTATTAATTTCAAGATTTTTCTAGTATTCCATAACTCTTTATTTCAATTACTTTATTGATTACCCAGATTAATTAATCAAAAAGTAATAAACAAAACCAAATCTTATTGAAATTAAAAATATATTTTAGAAAAAGATAATAAAACAAATGAAGAAACCAAGCAATAGGAATTTAATAAACTATTTGATTATTATAATGAAAATGGATTTCATTATTAAATCAAATGGAAATATCACCCAGCATCTTAGCAATCCGTCAAAGACTTTTATGGCCAGGAAGATACAATTATTGTTTTTCATTTAGCAAATCTAGATAAGCTAGAACTATTTATTTGGATAGGTTTTAAAAGATCTATTACTTTTAATCCCCTACTAATATTTATATCAAATGTACCCCCAAATCGAGATTGAAGTAAATCTAAAAAGCTCTATTAATTGATTATTATTCTCAAAAAAGTTTATTTTAATTTAATAATAGAAATGAAAGTATTTTAATATTATTTTGTTTTTTTTAAAAAAAAGGATTAATTGATATTATAATTATAGATTAATCGCCTTGAGTGGGGGGTACTGTTATAGTATCAACTATATGATTTGTAGTTGCCTTTATATCTTAGGTATAGTATACTAGTGTGCCCTATTTCCTATAAATAGGGCCTCACTTTTCCATAATCCTTTTACCCCTATGGTATAATATAAGTCTTTACCCGCACCTTGACAAGAATAAATATTAGTATAAAAAGTTTTTAATATTAATTTTATATATTATTAAATTAAAGAGATAATAGAATATCTTTTTATTATATAAAAAGAGGATTCCTTATTTAAAAAAAAATGAATATATAACTTTTTTTGAAAGTATTTTAATATTGAAATTAAAAAGTAATATTAAATTGATTTTATATAAATTTCAGATATTATATTTGATATTATTAAAAAATGATTTTGGAATTTTATAATCCCTGAAATCAAAATTATTAAGTTAATTAATAAATAGAATATAAATGAAATAGGTATAATAAAGAATTAAAGTTTTAATAAATTAATAATAAAAAGTATTAATTAAAGATTTATTCAAAAAAAGTAATCTGGATTTTGAATTTGAATTTTTTTTATAAAATATATTTTAATTAATAAAAAAAGTATTATTCCTTTTATAATATATAGGGAAAATTAATTTAATAATAATAGTTTTAATTAATTTGATTTTATTTAGGGTTGGAATTTTATTATTATAGAAATTAAATAAATTATAGATATTATGGTTTTAAAATAATTGAAAAAGATCTATATTTCTTAAACTATTTTTATTGAATAGAAAATTCAAGATTCCTTATTTTGAATAAATTAGAAATTATAAAACTATAATATTTATATTAGAATATTTCAATAATAATATATCTCTTATTTCTTCTATTATATATATTATATATACTATAACCACTTGATTTATCTATATTCTTATTTCTAAAAAGTATATATTAAATCAAACTTAATAAATTAAATCTATTATTTGATTTTTTATTAATTGGAAAATACAATTTCTTTTTTTATTATTAAAAGGCTAGAATAAAAGATTTAATTATTCAAAATATTAAATCTAAATAATAAATTAATAATCTTTAATTCAAAAATATAACTAAATCTTTTATAAATCGATTTTTATTTAAAAATAATAATAAAAAGATTTTATTATTTAATCCTAAATTTAATAATAATTTTATTTTTTAATAAAATATATATTTATTATTTATTTAATAAAAAATCTTTTAAAAAAGAATTAATATTAGAAAATATAAAGATATAATAATTCAAGAAAAAAAGATTAATTTATTAATATAAAGATTATTATTTTGTAAGATTATAAAAGAATATAATATTAAAAATTATAAATTTTTAAAAATAAAAAATAAAATTAGAAAATTAGAATATCAATTAAATAAAATATTATCTAAAAAAAAGTAAAAAATTATAATATTTCTAAATTCGAAGTTTATAGAAATTAGAGTTATAAGGTGTATACAAATTAAAATAGAAGATTATGAAATTGAAGAAGATAATAGTTTTAATATTATAAAAAATGATTTTATAAATGATTTTATTAAAATTCAATAGTTATTGAGTTATTAAAGTTTTAAGTATAGATAATATGATTTTTTTAGGTGGTCGGAAATAGGGGGTGGTCGGAAAGTGGGGTAGTTGACTTATTGTATTAATTGAAATACCCGGGGGAGCTAGAAGATTCGGGAGCTAGACATTTTTAATAGAAAACTAAAGATCTAGCTTGAAGGCTTCGATTCAACTCTATGATGCTTTCAAACCTTGATTTCTATTATTATTTAGCTAATCAAAAATTCAATCTGAGGCTTTTGAAGGCAAACCTCATTTTCTAATCTTCAAAGTTTCAGATGAGCATTTTATATATTGTTGCGAAGGATCCTACGAGTATACAGCTCAGTGATTGCTTAGTGGTTTCTACTTTAGAATTGGGCTATTTAGTCAAAGTAGACGCTGATACTAGTACAACGTTTGCCATATAATAAGGTTTGATTTTTACTTGGTCTGAAGAACTGGAATGCTTGTTCATAAATCGGGGAAACTGTCTGATCACTTGTCATTATCACGTTGATTGTCACGATCACATACTAGAGTATATCATAGAGGTCAAATAACTAGAATAAGAAAGTTAAAGAGGAAAGAGATCCTTAAGGGATCTCTTTATCTCTTATATAATAACAATCGTCTTAGTTCAAGCTAGCCTTGAACTAAGATGTCACATGATATTTGTCACATTGATCTGCATTTAGTGCATATTTAAGGATACTATAAAAAGTGCGGATTTAGTGCATTCAGAGGTTTCCTCGTCTCTTTAGAGACTCAGACAGTAATCTACTATGAACGTCCGTGTGGGAGCCCGCGCTAAACCTAATACATAGTCTTAGAAAATAAAAGCTTTGATTATTCCCGAAGATTACACATTAAAAAAAACATAAAAACTTTTGAATCAATGTTGTATTAAAAACCTCAAAATGGGGTATATACATATATATTTTGATGTATCTACCCCACACTATCCCTATTTGAACTAGTTATTGATATATATAACTATTATGTTTATATCAACGCATCATATACGGACATTCATAGTAGTTTGCTATAAGAGTCACTCCGCTCGTCGGAATTTGCGACTATTAGACTAAGAATGTGATTTAGGGGTGAGAACATAATTCGTATCCATACCTACCTAGTGTTAAAAATTCTGACCCCCAGAAGAAGGAGCTAGCCAGAATAGACATATAATGTATGATTAGAACGAAGTCAGAGCCTTTAGGGGTATGGCTGGTCTAATGGTAATCATGTCCATTAAATAAAATCCATTTTTCTCCCCCGTCATATAGAGTTGAACGAGTCATATAATCTTAGGGATGATTACATAATTATTTATTATCATGCTTCATGGGGTATGTAAAATATTGTGCTGAGATTATATATGTGTTTTTGAATCAATAAAACCATTAGATTAAATGGAAGTGAGTTGTTTTTGGAATTTTTCCAAATGAGTTTTGATTTAAAATTTAGTGGATAATCTGACCTGATGAGTTATGTGATTTCTACTTTAATCATTTTCTTCAACTTGGTCTTCAAAATAGCTTTAGAGCCCCATCTTAGAGAACTTTAGAGTTAGTCACATATATAACAAAATTACATGCTAATCTTCAGTGACGAAGAAGGAACTATATATGATATAAGTACTCCACCCAATCTTTGTACCCACATCAGAGCCCTATTTAGCGTTAATATTCAAAGCTTCAGAGGGGGCTTGAAAGACTCAGTGAATAAGCTTTCTTGAGGCCTCCAGATGCTGCTCCAAATTCGAATCAACCTTATGCGATATTGAATCAAAGATTCACATACTATTCAATGATGCCTAAATTATGAAAACATGATATTAATGTAATATTTTGTACATAATTGTAAAAATAATCATATTTTCGAGAGATCTCAACGATGTTTGAACAGTAAGAAGCTGGATGATGAGATAAACGTGGGGCTTTATTGAGTGAACTTGAGGAGATATCAAATACTGACGTCAGCATCGAACACTAAGTATAACTCTAGCTCTCGACTAGTAGATCAAAAATAGCTATAAATTCAATCAATCCCCCATCAAAGATTTCTTTTCTTGCGTCGATTTGCAAATCTCTTACAATACATTCAAATTTAGATACAATACCGACATTTTTGACCCATATCCTAATATTGTAAGTATTAATCATTCAATTCTCCCAGCTCATTTGATATGATCTTAGCCTTTGCAAATCCTCCAGGTATATAAGTAAATGAAAACAGTGTGCTAAGAAGTGTATGTAGTTGATCATGTGCATAGACATGAAGGATCTTAGCGAAATCCCACTTTTGATCACGATGATTGGAGTTTGTACTCTTTTGCTGCTTATGAGCACAAATTGGTGTAAGCAATCTCTCAAGGCAGAAGTAGAGATTGAAATACGCGCTCAGGTTCTCCTGGATCTGCTGCATACTCCAGCAGAGCAACGATCGACGCGAGTTTTAGATCTCTGTTTCTTCGCCCTGGCACATTCTTTCCTCCCAAAGGACTATGGTCCCGCCTATCGACTTGTAAGATCCGAAGATTTTGACACATTTGAATTGAGGCTACATCTGGCAGAAAGATTTAAGGAGTCCGAGGCAGAGGTTCATGGTAAAATTGAAATAGGGGCCCGGAGCTTTATAGCACTGACATGGGAGGAAGAAAGACAGTTTTTGGAAGCTATGGAAAAATTAATTGAGGGGCCGACATTGGAGATCGAGAGTAGTGAGGGATACCATCTCCCAGGCGTACACTGTTCAACGGGATTCGAAAAAGAGATCAAAAATATCAAAAAATGGATCGAGGAGCAGAGCAAAGAGAAAGTGGAAGAAGTATAATCCTTTCAGTTTTGTGATACAATATAGCCACATTTATCACAGTTGTCATAATATGCTGCTCTTTAAGACGGATCCGGGGGTACAATACACGATAGGCTGCTCTATGAAAGAAATTAGATGTGTAATTTTTCGGCGAAAACTTCCGGAAATTGCGCACGCACACAGCGGATATAAACGATACTTGTTACTTTACACCTTCGATTGCGAGTTATTGAAAATAGAAATCATAGTCTAGAGACTCTCAAGTTTCTAGTGGAGAGGTGCTAACCTTCATATTTCGACATTGGAGCGAACAAGATGGACTAGTAGACTAGATGAAATATAAGCTTTCAAAGTTTGTAACCATTCGGAATCTTGGAGTGGGAAATGAAGCTTAACTCAGTAGAGCGAGGATGAAGACAGTCAGATTTTGTTTGAGCTTTTTACTCGAAAAAGATATTTAGATGCTCTGGCTTGCATGAATCCACTAGTCGAATGCTTTTTGTTTGCTTCCACGCTCAAAATTGCTCCCCTTCGTGAAAGTGAAGACGACATACAAGATTTCATCTTCCATCGTGGAGCAGTACGCCAGTACAGGATCGAGAAAAAGTGTATCCAACTATACGAGATCAAGTAAAAATGGGTCTGTCTCGCTTAGTCACACACTCAAGCGAGTTTGTGAGTATATAAAATTGAATAATGCAGGTTCTGTCAGTAACGTGAAGACCGAATGGCCTGTTGGTACGGTGGATAGACCTTATGTCTATCTTATGTCTATGGATCTTAAATCCATTATCCATCTGAGAAGCCCGGGTCGCTAGGTTGTTACACCCCAGACTGGCCTTAAAAGTGGCCCCTCTCGATGATGATAGAGAAAAGAATAAATTGCATCACAGCATAATTTGCGACCCAACCTTTTTTTTTTGGCCAAATTGTTTTTGAGCTGCTAGTCTTTCTGCGAGTTCCAGCGCAGCTTGTCGGGCATATCAGCCAATCTTACCTCATCTCTTTGCGGACTTGTCCCCTTTAAGTCACGATTTTTGAATTCTGGAAACATAAAAGATCGATAATATCTTATCTCACCCTCAGACCACACAATAATTACATAATTTTTAACCTTGATTTCGAAATAAAGGCCTCCCAAAGAATTATTATTACAAAGTCTAAAAAAATTTAGTTCTAGCTTTAATAAAAAAATCAATAATTCGTTATTTTTCGATTTTTTCAATTAAAAATTAAAAATTATTTAATAATTATATTATTTTAATATAGTTTCAATATATATAAATAAATTTTCTTATTATTTTAATATATTCTTTATTATAATAATTTTATTTAATTATATATACATATATATCGAAAATATATATTTTTGAAAATCAATATTTTATTAAATTAAATATTCATTCTCTTTGAAATCTATTATTATTATTATTCCTAATAATAATATATATTCTGAAAATCTTTTAATTAATTTGATTTTTATTACATATTTTAATTCATTTTAAAAAAATTAAGATTATTGATTTTGAAAAGGTTGAATATTATATAATTAAGATTTTGAAAATTAAATATCTTAAACTTAAAATATTTTGAATTTTAAATTGAAAGGTAATTCAATCTCTATTAATAATATAATTCTAATATTATTAATATAATTAAAAAAGCTTATAAGATATTTAATTCAATAAAGTAATTCGATTAATATTATTTTTATTATTAATAAAGATATTTTAAAATAAATAAAAATAATTTAATTGATTTAAAGAAAATTCTTTTTGATTGAATATTATAACAATTATATATTTAATTAATTTAAAACTAATTTATATATTAATATCAATTAAGTTTTTTCAAATATTCTAATTAGTTTTTTAATAGATAATAATTGAAAGAATGATATATATTATTAAAATATTTATATTAAATAAATTGAATTGTTTATTAAAAACATAACTAAAAGCTTTTAGATTTTCAAAAAGATAAATATTCCTTTTAATCTTTAATTAATCAAAAAAATTCGATTATTAATAAGCCATAATATTACTATGAAAAGGATCAAGATATTATTTAGAATTCTAATTAAAAACGTTTTATCGACAAAGAGATTCTGAATATTGAGATAAATAATATCACTGTGAACGTTGAGAATCACATGATTTATGCCGGGTCCAGGCATCTAGCTTTTGTATTTTCAAGAATTGCTATACGATATCGCACGGCCGTCAGCTCTGGAAGTATTCAATCTGAGTAGATGATATACAAACTAGTAGTAGGCAAGATAGATTCTGAGCTAAAACTTTATGCTTGTTAATCCGAGTGTTTATTGTCACATGTCTGCCCTGAAAAATAGAATAGATTCGGTAGGTCATGAAAGGACGCTCAAGCAAGACAAAAGTTGATGCACAGTGCAAACGGTACAATCTACGAGATTTTGTAGACGTGATTATTTGTATGATTTCTAGTATTTACATTCATTAAAAAGGGGAAAATCATTTGCTTTTCGGTTTCAATCAATCACTCGACCCAGCAACAAGGTTCCCCTTCAAATGTGAAATACCAGTGACAGTAGTTTCAATATCTGTCTGCAAGAATGTGAGAAGTGTACTGAATGGTTTCCGAAGACCAACATTCATATTAGAAAAATAAAAAACTTCCCCAGCCGTTTTCATGATCGGATACACTGGACTCGTTCTCGCATGCTATCAAACACGAAAGATACCTCTTCGTAGCATTTTGTAACTAAGCCCCTAGATTCAATTTTGCGCCGTGTTTATTGACATTCTTTCGAAGATTATTTTCGTATACTGTTGAAAAGCTAGTGTTAGCATGTGAAGGTAAAGTTCGTTCATTATGTCTCAATAGAGAACTCCATGACGGGGAATAGTTGAACCAACCAAACAAATCATAGCTGGCATGCTTGACCCTAAGGAATACCGCCAAGTCAGTAAGTTCTTGGTAGTCTCTACTGCTCAAATCTCTTAATGGAGCGCCATCTGACCATAGTCCCAAGTTAAAAAAGGCATGACGAAGTCTTGCTGGGTTGGTGGTAACGTTGGCATGGCCAGGTTGCTCTTCCATAAATAAAGAACGCATTAATGCTTGGAAGTAGATGCCTATGGAGTGATGCTCGTTGCTTTTCTGAGCCGAGACATCAGGGTCATACATGAGTTCGTCCGACAGGTCACCTAAAGAGCCACCGAGCTTATGTCTGTAGACTGTAAGAAGCAATGGAAGCTTTCGGAAGATATTCGCCTTGCTGAATGTATAAAAATTTGGTTTGCGACAACCTTCTGGCATCGTATCGATGAATCGGATCTCGGAGTTTTTGATCCTATGTCGACGAAAAAAGGTTAGCTGGATTATCACTCTATGCAAGACGCAGTACATTCTTGCTAGTATGACATGACATACCTATTCAGCTCCGCTTGTGTACTATTAACAGTTACTTCCGCACTCCAATGAGAATTAATGATTGCCGCATGTTGGAGGCTGCTGTCAAGAGAGACGCTACTTGAAAAGGGTCTCTGATGACAGCTCCACCAGCAGAGAATGCGCATAGTCTTGGGATCTTCGATCTCGTTGACGACTGCCCCAAAATACTTTGCCATTGCTAAAATCCGATCAATGAAGGTTTCAATCATCTCTAGATCACCAGGTCCAGAAAAGGACATCTTTCGTTCCTGATGCCAAATTATCCAGATCTTCATAAACTCCATGACCGTCTCTGGTGTCTCGTTCTTGATTGAAGAAAAGTTCTTTTGGGATTTTGCTAAGTTAGAATTTAAAAGCTCTTTGATGTATACAATCTTATTCTCTCAGAGGAGCTTCACCACCATCGTTGTTGCGGGGTCAAAGACAATGTGATCGTCATCGGCAGGTGGAGAAAAGAGGTCTTTGTGCAATGCCAGGTGGGAGTTGACTGGACGCGTTGAATTTCCGGACAACATGCGCAAAAGAGGGAAACAATTGAACGCAGTCTGTTCATTGACACAGAAGTATGCAGGCTGACTCGGTGCATCAAGTGGCCTGATGGGGTCTTCGTGATGTTGCAAAATGAGTAGAAAATCTTTGACGGCATAGCGATTGAGGCTGTTTGGTGCGATGAAAGACCGCAATTAGTCCAGATCCTGGATTGAAGGAATAGCGGGGTTTGAACTACCTATTATCCATGGCTAGATCTCCGCCTTTAATATCTTGAAGATCTTTCTTATCAACGTCACAAGAAAGATCTTGGTTATGTTCAAGATCATGCAATTTCGGAGCGTCCAGCTTTCCAAGGAGTTTTCTACAGGTTGGAGTAAATTATCGAGTTCTGCCGCATCTTTCGCGCTGAAAGTTCCTGTAGAGCTTGCCAAAGGTAACAATACTTTCTTGTATAAGATGTCAAGCACATCTTGGGCCGTGGTGGACGACATTCTTTAGGTGATCAAAAGATGCCAAAAAGATTTGTAGACTTGGTAAAGGCTTATCGCAAGGACAAGAGATTTTGCGACTGTAACAAAATGAATAATACAGTGTTGGAGAATATTTTATTGTATCTGACAAGCTCAAACAATACCTTTCTTCAATAGCAGACGTAGCTAAAGAAAAAATTGTTAGAGAGATCGCAGTCGCGTCGTTCTCTTCTTGTTGTATTAAGCAAAGCCTGATTGAAGGTGAAAGACTTGCATTTTCAAGTAGGCTCTGTGCGAGGTTGAGCTAGCGCGATTCTAGTTGCGTGGGTGAATGTCGCTAATAGTTGGGACGAGATAAGGGGGGCCAATAGAATTCACGTGATTTGCTGTCCGAGTAGAGTACATACCTACACACGAAATTTACCAACACTTCCAATAGAAATCAATACTTCATATATTGTAGTAGAGCAAGAGGCATCTGAGCCTTTCCATGAACGAAAATACATAATCGAGGGCTGAGACCATTCAGATATCATAATCGGACTCAATAATTCATTTTGCCATCCACGTGTACATTCTAAGTGAGGAGCTTTGCCTCGGCTCTTCATAGCTTAATTTAATAACAAGCTTGCTAATACTCTCCATAATTATTTTTAATAGCATACAAGATTTACACCTATACTTATCATCTATAACTTTCGAAATTATGAAGTTAAAGGACTTCTATTATTCGAACATAGATTTTAAAGCTATGTAAAAATCTATAGTTTTTTCAAAGTGTAGTCTATATACTACCTTAAGTAGAGTAAATTTGATTTAAACATTTGACATTAAGGTTGATAATGCATCTAATTATAGAAATCTACATACTTCACTTGTCATTTACTTCCGATTCAGATATCGCATCAAAGTCTTTTAAATCTTTAAAATCTTTTAATCAATTATAACTTATTATTAAAAAATTATATCATTACAAAGTTCTTAATTAATACAATAATTCTATCTCTTTGAATCTCATTTTATGAATCCCCTACTCTGCATTTATTAACTGATTTATTATTTCAATTAAGCTTTATATTTTAATGTTCTTATAAAAACTTCATATACTTTTTAGGTTAATCAACCTTCAGTTAGGAATAACATTTTAAATTACATATATCAGAGTCAACTGAAGCTCTCAAGAATTCCTTCTATAGAATAAAAATCCTTTTGATGGGATGTGTAAATATAATTTACGAGTCAAATTAAATGGTTGTTTCCTTTTCATGGATTACTCAATTTGAAAATACGGCCCACGTGATGCATCGAATTCACTTCCGATTCTCTCGCTCAACCGTACAATTTCGGCACTACGGGACATTCAGTCTTCACTGGTCCAAGGTTTCTTGTCCAATAATCTTGTTAAATCTTTCAAGATCTGAGCCCGATTTTTCATTTTTATCGACTTCATACACTACGGATGCGACACATTGATCTTTAATAAGAAGAACCAAACATGAATAAGCGCGGGCTATCATCGGGGTCCAACGACTCAGATTTGGTCAAGTTATGTTCATTCCTTCTGCCGGAGGTTCAGAGAATTGTTAATGATCGCAGGGTGTCGGAGAATTCTCCAATCAGACCGTTGTTAGAAGATATATTGCGCCTTGATGGAATAATACCCGTTCTCAGAGAATTTTCCCAAGCTATACAGTATCCCTCAGTCAGGGGAACACATCCAGGTGGGGAATCAAGTACTGAATTTTCTAGAACTTTGGTTTCTACTTTCAACGAAAGCATTGAAGATGACAGAAACACTGTGCGAGAATATTTGCGCAACAAGCCGGCGAATAATAGCAGTCATTATCCGGTAATTCGACGAGCGAGTAAGCCCTCATCTAAATACATTGGTGCCGCAGTAGTACCACCTTCAAGGCCGATTAAACCTGTTCTGAACACGTCAAAGAAGCCGATAACTAGTACCTTGTAAGTCTTGTCCTTTTATATCAAGTCAATAATAAAGAAAAGACAAGTATTAAATTTTACCTTCATCATAGGGAAATCTCACAAATGCCACCATTGAAAGACCGAAGAATCTACTTTCTCAAAAAGCATGAGACTTCAGACGTACCATACCTGGCACAAACCGAATTTCCAGAATTCATCACTGCGGGAGAAGAGAAATTTTTTCAGATGTGCCCTTTCGCAGGTTTCGCATTTGATGTAAAACGAATCGGGATGTTTTCAGATCCAGATGACAAGGCAATCTATGACCCAGAATCGACCCGAATTAAAAAAAGATGCATTGGTAAAGCAAAAATCGTCTATTTGGCTAACTTGATAGACTCTTCCTATTTCCATGAGATACGAGGCTCTCAGTCTCCATACGTTATAAGAATACTTTGCGGATGGAGTATTGAGAAGATATGGCTGAACACGAGAACTTGGGTATTGTTTGTCGATGGAAAATCCTTCGAGGAGCGGATTTCTTCTGAGGCGGAATTGGATGAAGTGTGTATGCTTGGTAGTTTTCTCGGTGCAAACACAGAGGGAACTGCTCTCTTACGGAAGAGGTATCGTAACCATAGGTCGAAGGAATACCATAGTAATTCTACTAAAACCGGTAAGCACTCAAGATCGATCATTATTGTACATTCATACAGGATTACAGTAATCTGGATTGCAGTCTGACAATACGAGGCTTAAAGGTCTGAGTTGACATGAAATATTCGAATGGTTTGAGTTATTGAACATGAGTCAACCATCGAATTGTTTCCAAATTCGAGATACTCGATCTGGTCTTCAGATCCGGACGACTGGACTCCCTCTGTGCGTGGTTAATAAATTTTGGTCGACTAACTGTTATTTTCCTACAGGTAATTCTCTTCTAAACAAGAGAGCTCTGCAATCAAGCGTATCACCAATGGATGAGGCACAGAGTAAGAGGTTGCGTGGAAACGATTATGTTGCGGACGAAGTTCAAAACGTGACTTCAGACCTGGGATGGCGACATCGTGATGATTGAGGAAATTTATGGTAGAAGTTGATGTTTAGCGTGGCGGATGATGCGGCCGCTTTGGATGGGCTACTGAACGTGGGGGTCCTGAAGTTGGTTAACCATGACTTCCTGGATGATTCAAGGAGGCAGAGAACTTATCAATTTATTTGCAAATCTACTAGCTGATTCAATATTGAGATGATAATGAGAGTTTTGGTGTTTTATTGCGGTGGCAAAATACATATCATTGTTTGTTTCACATAATTGCCCTTTAACCCCGGTACAATTCGATATTAACTCCCAGCCCGTTCTCGATGATGATTTGCATCTCAATTCATATTTCTTCTTAGTTGCGATTTCTCTCTCATAAATATTAGAATCTACCCTCGCTTGACATCCTTACAGGCCTACCTTATCACTATTAGTCCTGGGGTGCGATATGAAAAGATCGCCTCGCAGTCATGGGTAGACTGCACGTCAAGGATTTGTACCTTGAGCCAATGTGATGCTTCGTGGATGCAGCCATCGGTGTTGAAATAATGATGTGATAGCAAAATTCAAGCACGCAACGTCAAAAGCGCATATAAGGTAAGCTGTAGCCATTCAACTCAAATTTTGCTCTATCTTGATATCAGGGTCCTGTTTCTTGTGAACGCGGGGTCCGTCAAAGTGTTTTCAAAATTTCTCACGAAACTATGTCGCAGGTTACAGCGAGGCACTCAGTCAGTCCCTTCAATATCTGATATCTTAATTGATTATTGACATTCCTTGGAAAGTTCCGGTCGTTCATATGGGATACCGACACACATCTCAAGTCTGTTGAAGAGCGAAAGCTTCTGCGAAGGCTTGATGCTGCTATTCTCAGTATTGGATGCTTGGGCTTTTTTGTAAGTAAAGTTATCGTCTCGTGCCTCTCTAGACAACTATTGAAACATTACTGAAACTGACGATCGCCAGTTGAAATATCTCGACCAAAACAATCTCACCAATGCCTATGTTAGGTATAGCCACTCATGTCCTCAATCTCGTGTTCGGACGATCTGATTTGGCGTCTCACAATAGTGGCATGCAAGAAGACCTAGAGATGTTCGGCGATCAATACACCTATGCTGTGAGCCTTGAAACTTCGGATTCCCTTCAATATTGGGTGCATGAACTCATAAGATGCTCTTTGCTCCTCTAGTCGTTCCATGAGTCTATGCATCAACTATTGCTTTCATACACTAGTGCTCACGATATTTCCTAAGGAACATTCTATACCTGCGCATATGCTATCATGCAGATACCATCGACTCTCGTTATTCAAAAAGTCTGACCGAGCTACTGGCTATGTCTCATGGAAATTGGATTGGGAACTTTTACTTTTGCACAAGCTGGAATGCACAGTTTTCCACAGCTGTATGACTTTCGCTTTCTGGTTGGGCTTTTCGAAAGTTCATTTTTCCCTTGTATGCTCTTTATACTTGGCTCGTGGTAAGTAAGCCCTTCATTAATGCTCACACCTGAACCTAACAATGAATCAACACAGGTATACCAAGACTGAGCTCGGTAAGTTCTAAGACATGAATTGACCCAATACGGCAAGTCTCTAATATCTCCTGGGTCTGAATAGCGAAGCGTATTGCTATATTTCACATGACTGCGCCGCTCGGAACAGCGTTTAGCGGTTATCTGGTAGGCAAATCCAGTCCCTGGACTTACTGAAACTCATAAATATGTAGCAAGCTGCGGTTTACACAAATCTTAACGGACGCCATGGGCTTGCAGGCTGGCGATGGCTCTATATTGTATGTGGGGTGAGTATCGTACAATCTTGCTCAAGAATTTTATATAACCTATCTAGATCATGACTCTTCCTGTTGGATTTGCAACAATATTTCTTCTCCCGGATACACCCCATACCACTCGCGCCTGGTACTTAACTAAAAACAAATGTGCGCTTGCAATTGAACGAGTCGAGAAGGCTGGAAAGGCGACCCCTGTACCAATAACACGGGCCAAAATTAGACGCATGTTCACCAGATGGAGTATGCAAGACCAAAATGTTTTGGCTATGAATGACCAGATTGCTGATGTCTCCATCAGGGTGGTATGCGCTTGTGTTGGGATATATCGTAAGGTGATCGTAACCTGCACTTTTCACTCACTAATTTAATGAATTAGCTGTACGGAACGAGTTGTGCAGCAAGTAGCTATTTTGCTATTTGGCTTAAATCCGAGAAATTCTCTGTCACTTTGAGGAACGTCATCCCATCAGGTGCCAGTTTGATATCCGCTTTCTGTGTCATTTTATGAGGTTTTGGGGCAGATTACTCTGGAAGTCGTTTTGCATTTGTGATTGGACCAATGGTAAGTTACTGGCTCGAATTTGACCGTGAAGTCTAACAATTGATCCAAAAAGACCTATGGGCCGATTCCCAATGGTATTCTTGCCATTTGGCCAAAAAGCGTGAAATTGAAAGAGTTTGCTTTTCTCACAGACGGTGTTCAAATCATGACTGCAGTCTTTTAAGTTTGTATTTGTGCCGGCCTTTTCTTATATGATTGCTGATATCAGATGGGACTATTAGTTATGCATGGGCAAATGAGATATGTGCAGGAGATAGCGAGGAGCGAGCTATTGTTCTAAGCAGTATGAATGGGTTGCAGTACGCTGTCAGTATCTTTGGCCATTCGGCTTCAGCAGGATTACTTACTTGTGTGATCGCAGGTAGCTGCATGGCTCCCATTGTCATCTTTCCGCAGACCGAAGCACCCACATTCCGTAGGTGAAATTGAAAGGTTTTTTCATGCAGGACAACTGCTAACTTTTAAAAAGGTCGTGGCTTCCCAGCTACATTCGGATTTGTCATCGCTGCTCTCCTTGCCATCTTACTTATCCAGTTCCTCCACACGCGCGAGTTGAAGCAAACAGCAGAAATAAACCACGAAGATACCGAAGCAATAAGTTCTGAGGAGGTATTACATATCGACGGTGGACCAACTAAGGGATTTGAGAGTGGCGAGTCCCGCGGAGCACCAACAGGTGGAGCTGTTGTTTCCTGATAGAATGCGATGGGAGACCGGTGGTGTAGACTGGTGACGCTCTCTCCATGTAGTCAAGAAGATGCAGTAAGAATTCGAAAGCAAATACTATTGTACCTTAGCCGTTTATGCATCGAAAATCTGGGAAAGGTGCGCTGTATCATTGGTGGCTTGATTAGTAGAGATAGACTGTCATTCCGAGAGGCATACTCATCTAGACTTACATGGAACTTTGAGTCTTCGAGGGAATTCGTACGGTGTACCAGACCTGAGAATTTCGCGAAAGGGTGTCATCATAGAGCTTTGACAGGAGATATAGCACTAGACAATTGAAATAAGCCATAGCTCAAAAACACACCAAAAATGATCATTTTTCACCCTTTTTAAACTTCTAAATTTCCATAGTACAAAGCATGAGAACAAGCCGAACATTGTCTAAAGGATAGATTAAGGGCTAGTTTGGATGTACAAATCCGCGCTGAATCCGCTGAATATTCCGTGCTTTTTAAAAACAGATTTTGAATTTATATTTGAATGTTAAATTACAGATTTTATTAAATAATCCGTATTTTAATGAATTTAATATATTTTGAAATAAAAAGAGGATAGATCACTTTAAAATAACACTAAATAATTCACATTTTTTAATAAATTTGTATAGAAAAATAAAAATATAGATTGAAAATAAAAACTAGAAAAAGCTAGTTTTATTGAATTTATTGAAATAATCCATTCTTTTTATAAGTTTTTATAAACTTTAAAGCCTAAAGTTTTAATATATAAAGTCTAAAGTTATAATAAATAGAGTCTAAAACTATAACGTGATTTATCATCGAGTAGACCATATCATCGAGTGGGCCACTTCAAAATACACCAAAATTAAGGCTTTTTGAATATTCGTATTTTAATAACTAATTATTATTTTAAAAAAAGAAAAAAAGATTAAATAATAATAAAAGATTAGTTTTCTAAAAATCTAGTTTTTATATTAATATTTTCATTTTATATTAAAAAAAGTGAAAATTGTTATGATTTTCGTTATAAAAAAATATTCCTAATAATAATTCTTATATTAATTCGAATTTCTAATAATTAATGAGATTTTTGTAGTATTTATATAGTTAAATTTCATAGTTTTAATTTTTAAAAAATTCTATTAATAAATAAAGAAAGTGTATGATTATACACTGTCAAGGTACGGGTAAAGACTTATATTGTACCATAAGGGTAGAAGAACTATGGAAGGAAGAGATTCTATTTATAAGAAGTAAGGTACATTAGTTGTAGAAGTCTTAAATATAAAGACAATTAATAAACAAATAATTAGCATTGTAATAGTACCCTCTATTCAAAATAATTGATTTCCAATTATAATAATTATTTAAATTAAAAGATAAAATAATATCAAAATATTCTTATTTTTATTATTAAATTAAAATGAATTTTCCTAAAAATTATAATAATTAAATATTGAAGCTTTTTTGATCTACCTCAACCTTGTTTTAAGAAAATAATATTTATATTTGATATAATTAATAAAAGATTAGTAATTAGTTTTTTGAATCTTATTTAAATAAATGAATTAGATTTAATTAGATTTACTAAATGAAAAGCAATAATTATATTTTCCTAATTATAGAAATCTTTAGTGAATTATCAAAAAACTAAATAATATTTTTATTTAATTAAATAATAGAATTCGTTTTTATTATAATAATTAAGGAGTTTATTAAACTTCTATTATTCAATCTCTTTATTTATTTTATTATTATATTTAAAGATTCAATTCTAGTTTTGTTAGGATTTAGCTTTATTAATTATATCTTAATTAACTAATTCTGGTGAGCAATAGAGTAATTATAATAAAAAATTATAAAATATTAGAAAAATCTTGAAGTTAAATGGGAGTTGAAAAAAGTAAACTCGTTTATAAATTTTTAGAATCTTATAGAAATTATTTTATTTATTATTACCTTTTTTTATAGATTGGTTAATTTTTATATTCTAAATACTAATTTATACTTTATTACTCTTTTTATATAAAAAAACATTAATATAAACTCTATTAATATAATCTTTATATCTTTAAATAAATTGAATAATAAAAGCTTTTAATTTTGTTAAAATCAGATTGAATTAATTCATGATTTTATTAGCTTTCAGGAATTTATATTTTTTTTAATATAATAAGTTCAGAGGTATAGGTGAAAAAGATTCAATATTAAAATATAAATAAAATCTATAATTAATAAAGAATAGAAATATACTAATAATCTCTGAAATAATATTATTAAATATAAACTTTATAAGCAGAAGTTAATTATACCAATTATTCTAATAAAAGTTTATAAAAACTTGAAGATATTATTCTATTATAATATTAATCCTCTCTATTTAATTATTAGATTTAAAATAAAATAAAGAAGATTATTTCAAAGTAATTGATAAATACTCAAATAAATATTTTCAGAATTTCGAAATAAATTATAAGTTTTTATCAAATATAATATTGTTAGGTGTTTTATATAGATAATAAATCTTTTTAATAAATCGATTAGTAAGTTTCTCTATAAATAATTTTATAATTAATATAAAATAATATATCTTTGTTAAACAATAAATAATTATAATAATATATTAATACTTCTTTTTATAATATTTGTTGATTAATAATAATATAATATAATCAATAAAAATATTAAATTAGAGATGAAATAATATTAATAAGGATTTAAGGAATTTAAATACTACAAAATAAAAGATTTTAATTCAAAAATAGAATTGATAGACTTATATAAAGATTTCAATTTCCTTTGATATATTAGGTTATTAATATATACAGGAGATAAGATTAATAATCTTAATTCGATTAGAATATCCTGCAGGTTTGGTTGAGTATATTTAATAAATTATTTATATATAAAGTTTAATAAAGAAAGGAAATAAAAAGGTAATCATAATAAAAGATTTTATTATTGATTAATTTATAATTTTGAAAAGTAATTTAAAGGTTTTTTTGAATTAATAATAACTAATAATAAATAATTAGATTCTAAAGTGTTTTGTGTATAGTAGTGATTAAATTAAATGATTTATATACTTTGTTAATAAGATTATTAATTAGCTTTTTAATATTAAAAATAATTATATTTATAGAAATTACAATTAGGTTAATATTATTATTTATTTATTGAATAAGATTTGTGAATGTAATGATATCAAATATTTTTTTTAAAAAAATTGTTTATAAGTGGTTTTTAATTTGATTGTTATTAGAATTAATATAAATTAAATAATCTTTTGCTTTCCAATTTAATATATTAAAGCGAATTATTTTATAATTAGATTAATATATAATATAAAAATTAAAACCAAATAGGAATTCGGCCCATCTTGTTTATCTTTAATTCAGTATTTTTATTAATATAAAGTATTCTAGGTTTTTGTAATTAATAATAATCTCAAATAACTTTTGAGTATTATATAATTTGGGTCTCTATTCTTTTAATAATTTAATAATAACTAGTAATTCTTTATCATAAATTTTATAATTGTATTTAATAATATTATATTTCGAAAAGAAGTAGGCCACTAAATATAAACAGTTCTTGTTATTATATTGTAAAAGTATGCTATTTGTGGTTTAATTTGAAATATTTGTTTTGATAATTATATAATGATAATGATTGAATATTGTAAAAACTGGGATAAAAGTAAAGATATATTTCAATGTTTTAAAGATAATTTTTTGATTAGTAATTCAATTCTATATATTCTTTTTTTTAATAAGCAATTTAGAGATTTTATGATTTTTGAAAAATTTTGAATAAAGTATTAATAGAAGTTAATAAATCTTAGAAAATATTGAAAATCTTTTAATTTAATTAATAACTTTTATTCAAGAATAATTTTAATTTTATTAGGATTTATTTTTATATTACTAAAAATAATAATTAAATCAAAATATTTTATTCTCTTTATTTCAAATTTGTATTTATTAATATCAATTTGTAATTCAATATTAATAAATCTTTAAATAATTTTGTAGATTTACTTTTAATAATTTATAATATTCTCAAAATCGATTAAGATATTGTTTAGATATACTATATAATTCTTATTCAGAAAATCGAAAAGAATATAATTGATATAGTTTTAAAATGAGATAGAAGTATTATAAAAGCCAAAAAATATTATCAGGAATTTGAATAAATTAAAATAAATTATGAAAACGATTTTTTATTTATAATCTTTTATAATCTATAGTTTATTAAATATAGTGATAATATTCAATTTAATATAAATTTTAATATAATATAAAATATCAAAGATTTTTTTAATTAATAACAGTAAATAACAATTCTTAATAATAATATTATTCAATCCATAATAGTTTTAATAGATTCGAATACCCCCCTCTGATTTTATAATTAAAAGAAATAAAATAGTTGATTAGGAATGGGATTTATAAATGAATTCTTTATTTAGATTATTATTAAGTTATCTATAAATAACTTAAAATTCGATTAAAGATATTAAATAGTTTTTATTATAAAATAACTTTTTTCCTAATATAATCTTGATTTTATAATTCTAGAATCATTATAATAAAAGTTTATTTATTAGAGAAGATAAAAAGCTAGAAAATAAGTTATAAAGCTATAAAGATAATTTGTTTGAATCTTTATTATAATAAATATAAATTAATTAGTTTTTTCTATAAATTTATTAATATTATTATTTATAATATTATAGTGTAGTTGGATAGAGTCTTTTATAATTATTTAATATAATTTATAAGCTCTATCTAATTTATTCTATAATACTTTTATAATATATATATCTTTTTTATAGAATTAAATAAAGTTATAAGCTGTAAGAAACTTTATATTCTTTATTTCTAATTATATATTTTATAAAATATTATTCGATTTATTTAAAGATTTAGGTATTATTGGGATACTTAGTGATAATAAAACATTTTGATTTTATAGTAATTTTATATAGATTTTAAAACTAGC